ATGATTTGTGAAGGTGCAAATATTTGTTATGAAATTTCTATGTACTTGAGTAAAGTGTTTTATGATCTTGTGTATTTATCCTACTGTTGGAACTTACCAATGTTTTTGCCTTCAATTATAACCAATTAAATGTTTTTGGCCTTTAATTATAACCAATTAATTGTCTTCACGATGCTAGAGTATCTTGGGTGTATAATTTTATTTTTCAAATGACAAATCTAATCTAAAGTACTTTAAATTCCACTTATGTTGTAGATTAGACATAAACATTCGACCTTAAGAAAGAAGAACATCTGATATCATTGGGTTAGAATATTTTTCATGTATGATCTTATTTAGAGTTCTATAATAGAGAAAACAATAAAATTTTGGATACAGTTGCAAAGTTGCAAAAATCATGATTTATTTGTGGATTTGGTCTATCAATTAATTTAACATCCATTTATTTTAATATGATGACTTTGGTAAAAATGACTATCTATTTACCTTTAATTTAATGTTTTAATAATTAATAGTACTTTTGGTATTTATAATCATTGTTACTATTTTATTAAAAATATTAACCTAAAGAAACATAAAATTGAGGTGATATTTATATGGCAAATATATAATCATTCCTACCATAAGTTCTTTATTAATTTCAAATACAATATTTGAAAGCCAATACATTAGATCTATTTTTTTTTTCCCTTTTTAGACCAAAGCTCGTTACAACTTTGAGTGGCGAAGCTTTAACATTTTATTTGGAGTCAAAAATATAATATGTATAAAAATTGGTAAGTAGGGGGCCACAACCAAAATTTTATATTTTTGACCTAATATGTATAAAATTAAAATATAAGAACTACTTCTAACCACAAAATCAGGAATGACACAGCCTCTTCTGACCCTAACAAAACTCCGCCCATAACAACTTTTATTAAGTCAAAACAAAGCAAACGATAATGCCAGTTTTTGTGTCCATTTAGGTTATAGAGTTAATAAGTGGGTCGCATCCTCATTTGACTTGGTCCATTTTGACCTCTATGGTCTGTGTCATGTTTACTTTATACATACTTTTGTTCGGTTTATGTTATGAATAAAACACAATTTATACCCTCCACCCAAACTCTTCATAGTGATAATGCAAACGA